AATACAAAAACCCAAACCAGTAATAGCTACTGTGAATGAACCCTTACTATAAACAGGACACTTCTTTCTAGACATGTTTCTGTTTAGTTTGATATCATCTTATGATCTAGGTACCCTTATTGTTCTTGTCTTAAAGATGAAGAATAGACACAAAGAATAATTTTCATAGAATTCCCATTGTTAGTGATGGTCCCAGTCGTGTAGCACACTGGTCTCTAACCTGTGCTCTCAAGTATTTCTCTAGTGCAGAGTATGCATTAGGGGTATCATGTCTATCCTAAGACCCTAAAGAATCCTTTTTCTTGACGGAAAAGGATGCAAATAACTTTGATGGAAAATTATGGCATTATTTTTACTTCTTGCATGACTGTGTGTGTTCAGAACTTGATAGTGTCTCAAAGTTTAATCAAGTACAATAACTTTGCTAAGCCTAGTTCATTATGAAGCAAGTTTCTATGTCCTCTTGTTACCATTATTTGTTAAAACATTCAGTTTTTAGGGCAGGAGAAATGGCTCAATGGGTAAGGTGCTTGCTGTGTAAGCACAAGGACTGGAGTTTTGCTACTCAGAACTCACATTAAAGATAGGCATAGGGATACGTTGTGGACACTGCAGGGTCCTGGTGTCACTGGATAGCCACTGCTGCCAAAATAGTGAACTTTGTGTTCAGTGAGAGACCTTGTCTCCAATAATAAATAAAATAGTGAAGGAAGAATATAGGAAAAATGTCATCTTCCTGTGTCCACATTCACATACATGGGTGAGTACACCCACACACATTCAAGTACACACAGACATACACATACACACACACACACACACACACACACACACATATACACATACACACAGAGGGGGGATCAACTATTGGAATAATATGTATGCTTGCATATAAATTGGTGGAAACATCCCCTGTTTAATAGTTTTGTTAATTGTCTAGTAGAAGTTGTTGAGCTCACTAGTTCTGTCTACAAAAGACAGAGTTTTAACTAAATGTAGATTACCTGATGGCATACTCATGTTCAAAATAAAGAACAACTAACCCGAATACCAGACTAAGAGCAGACCATGTTCCCATGTGCTGTCCCTCCATACATTCTCGGAGAATGGCTGAGTGAGCAATGAGCTTTCTCTGATGGAATCAGCTGAGGACAAGACCCTCTCCACCTCTGCCATTGTCACCCTGCTCCATTTCAGCATCTGACTCTGAGACATACTGTTCTCTCTTCAGTAGAACTGACCTGGTGTTTTCTTCCTAATTATATCACTGATCATTTTGAAGATCAACTAAATATTACATATTAAAACCTACTGAAATTCCCAGAACAATACTGTAATCACAAAAATTCATTAAATTTTTTCCTTCAACAAAACAAAGCATTTTTATCTTTCTCTTAGAAAATACTGAATAACCACATATCAAGTGAGTGGCTGTTTTATGACATATATAAATTTTACCTGAATTATTATTCAATTCATCTAATGTTCTTAGATTTTTCTTTCTTGTTGTTAATTTTTCTTTCTTGTTACTAATTAATTATTTTATTTCCTCAACTGTCTGAGATAAGTAATACTAATAGGATTTGAATTTTTCATACCAGCTAGGTAAAATGTTGTAGAATTTTAAATTAAATAGAAATTATATTTACTTGGATCTTTTCCCATTCTCCCTCAGCAGAAATTATCAAGATTGGAGGGGGGCTGCTGAACTTTAGAAAAGAAACAAAAACATAAAAGGGCATATATCATGATCATGTTAGATAGACGGTCATTTTGGAGGAGGAAATAGTGTATTTAAATTGATCATTTAGGACTTTATTTTCCTCCTTTGGCCTTCTCTTTAACTTAATTCATGCCTGTCACTTTCTCAGAATTAACTCAAGCCCGCTGTCCACAAAGTCTTCTCTGATGTTTGTTCCAATGGAATCCTTTAGAGTGTAGGGATATTTGGACTCCATTGTTGACCCTTGTGCAGAGGCAGAGTCACACAGTCTGAGTGTGAGAAGGCCTTGGCAGCACAACACCTGCATTTCCCCACACAGAAGAGGAGGAGACTAGGGCCTTGCCCTGCTCACACAGCTGTTATCCTTGGAGCCAGAAGTCTGACCCTGGACAGTTTCCATCACCTTCTGTTTTGTTGGGGCTTGATTGTTTCATGGGATGTGCTTGGTCTCCCTAGCTGAGAGATTTGTTGTCAGGGACATGGTCTTCTTGCTTATGCAAGGATTGTTTTTCATTTTTCCATGCAGAGGAGGAACACTAAAAAGCTGGGCACACCCACAAGTATACCTCAATCCTTTGGCCCATGGTAGTTTTAAAAGGCTTTCAACTTACGGTATCTAAAATATATTTATTTTAGCCAATATATCAATAGAACTGATTAATATTATAAATCATTCAAAGTTTGTATGTTCATATTTGTCCTGACAACGAAATATAACTTGATAGAGATGTGTTCATTATTTAATTTTAGTGAATTGGTGTGAGGGTGTCAGATCCCCTGGAACTCGAGTGACAGGCAGTTGTGAGCTGACATGTGAGTGCTGGGAATTGAACCTGGATCCTCTGAAAGAGCAGCCAGTGCTCTCAACCTCTGAGCCGTTTCTCCAGCCTGAGATGTGTTAATTAGATGATTGCATAAACTTTGATTTTTTGATTCCTTGGACTCTTGTGCTGAAGAGATGACTAGTAAGATATGAATCTTACTTGGTCACATTTCATTTTGATATTGACCTTCCATCCACCAAGACCTCCTGAACCAGATCCTCTTAAGGTTGGGGGTGTATGCATCTGATTGTGGCCTGAGGTTCTCTACATGGTACTGATCCAGCACCAAAACCAAGAGCCATGGCTTAGGAGAATGACCCACGACACAGAGAAGAAGAGCCCATTGATTATACCTGTTAAATCTTATAGCAAAATACAAGCTAGGTCCTATGCTAGGGAAATCAGTTGGTGCTGGTGGTCTACATAATAGGCCCACACATAGTATCTCAGTTGCTACCACAAATCTTCATATGTCCAGAACACAATGTATTGAACCCTTGGCTTTCCAATGCAGAAGTGACACAGCAAACCTACACTGATAACAGTCCTCTGCTATTATTTTATTTTTTTAAGTAAGAGAGACTGCCAAGGCCAGTTGAAAAGGTTGATTCTGTTGAATGTTATTCTCCCTGACACAGATGATTACCTGTCAGTGAATCCCTCTTTCTCTCATCCTTCCCTTTCTTCAGTGATGCCTGTAATACCCACTATTTACAAGGCCAATATCTGGCTTTCCATTAAGCTGAGGAGATGTAAACTAATACAGAGAAATGATGTGCGAGCATTAACTAGGCCTGGAACAGACAAGTGACCACAGAACTTTAATTGACCCAAGTAAAGAATTAGCTGAAGACAATTTAAGCTTTTACTGGGAACCTTTTCTGGACCTTGCTGTGGGCTGTGCAATGCATCATCCTAGTACACACTAGGGACCAGCATTCAAGGAAAGATATTTAGTTTTCAAAGGAGACAAAGTTGGATATGCTGGTGATTGTGATGTCACAGGAACTGCCCAGAATTTATTATCTATATCAGGAGAAACAGGGTGTATTTTTTAACTTCAGGACATTTGAGATCATCTCAATCTAGAATTTCCAGATAAGAAAACTCTTTTCTTAAAAAAAGCATGATAAACTACCTCTTAACAAGAATTGGGGGTAGGAAGAACTCTTAATGCGCCCCCCATCCCCTACCACTTGGCAGTAGGTTGCATCATTGTAAATCCATGTGTGCATGGACCACGTGGCATTGCCATTTATTCAGCAAGGAGTCGAGAGGGTGTGTGCTTAGCACTCGAATATTGGACAGGATTCAAATATGCGTCAAGTGTGTCTAGAGGCTTTATTCATACCTAGTTTCTTTTAGTCAGCAATGCTTTATAATGCCTTGGTTTCATGAATTAATTCTAATGGAATTAAACTTGAACAGCTCAAAATTATATAATTAATTTCATTCAGCTTCAATTAAAGTTACTAATTGAATCAAGCCTACTAGCATGACACCTGGCGGCAGTCAGCTACGTAACAGTATGAGTATGTAGGACTGCTGATAAGCTAGTTCATGTATACTGGTGAGATTGTAGAAAATCTTTTTTTACTGATAATCTCCAAAAGGCCTGAGTTGACTATAGCAGTAAAGACTTCTGGAGTTGTTTAAGAAAGTTAAGATTTTAATTGAAACTAACACATCTCATGAAGATTACATTTTCCATGTGATAATGCTGAGTAAATGTTACATAAATCTAGAACATATTGGTTTAAAATGCTTTTAATTTTTATTTTACTGATGTTTGAATATGGTTTTGCAGTCTAAAAATGTTTAGCATGAAAGGCCCATTTTTTTGGTAGCAATGTTAGCCTCTGGCTTTAGTCCTGCATTCATATCCATCTATTTTTCATGTGTTGAAATATGTTTTGTGGCAGAATTGTTTATTTGTTGTGAAATATCTATGATACATGAGATTTTTTGCATATGTAGAAATTCGTTCCTTCTACTAAAAATGATATAAAGACTGACTAAAATCTTCAGTGTGAGTCTTTCATGTCTGCCTCCATAGCTTGACATTGTGCAGTTTAAAGTTTTTCTGACTGCTTCCCAATGATACAGACTCTTTTTAAATAGATTCTCCCTTCTGATGAGCTCAGTGATTGGAAATGCTTCAACAATGGAAGTTTAAGAAGATGCTTAGCGTGAGTCCAGCATGATTCCAGGGATTGACCTGATTAGGGCAGCAAGAAAATGAAGAAAAGACAAAACACAGGGGGACACAGAACAGCTCGAGATCCGGTGCACTGGACTTTCTGATGAAGAAGCCACAGTACGCTGGAAGCCTGTCTTTATCACAGATCGTTGAGCATGGAGACAGGTTTATGGTAAACAGCTGAATCATGGAGGCAGGTGTAGGTAATCTGACTAGAAACAGTTTTTCTAGGGGAGCAGTCTTCAGGGTGTAAAGGGGGAGGATATGACATATATTACTGTAGACACTGTGAATATTCATTCTTGTACCCGAGAAAGGTTTCTTGAACTTTCTGAGCCTCACCTGATATGGAATGTGCCAATTCCCTGTGGGTCTAAGGCTTTGGCTCTTGACATGGCTGGCTCAAGTCCAACAATTCACATCTACTCAGGACCTCAACCACTTGCTACAGACTAGCTGTACCTTTCTTTGAGGTGTACACATTCAGATACTCAGGATTGAATGTGTCACCTAGACTATGAACTGCATGAAGGCTGGGTAATGTGTTATCTTTTAAGGTACGAACATCACCCAATGAAATGACTAAACATTTGAATACACCACTATATGCATTCTGTGTATGTAATGAATATGTTATTCTGCCATTTTTCCGATCTTTAACATCAAACTCAGATTAAAAATTTTGTCATTCCCAACTGCATCTGTTTATCTGTGCATACCTTACATAGTTTCTCAGATCTGTCACCTTTTCTATTATGTCATCCTGTTAAATGATCATCGGTGTCTATTTGAACTTTGCTCAGTCTCCCTTTCAGAGCCTGTGATAGTTCCATTTCTGTTGCTATGATAAAGTGCCCTGACAAAGACTTCTTCAGGGAGAAAAGGTTTCTTTTGGAGAAATACAGTCCCACATGGCATGAACGACATGGCAGCAGGCAGAAAAGGCCCTCAGGCAGAAACAGGAAGCTGCCTACTTACATTTCATCTGCACTCAGGAAGCTGAGAATGAATGGTAGGTGGGGCATGCTGTGAAGCCTCAAGTTACGCATTTCCTCTAACAAGTTTTGACCTCATAGCATTTCAGAATGTTTCCAGAACCTTTTCCTGCAGCTCCATCAACATGTGCTCCTACAAGGGCAATTAGCATTCAGATGCAAATGTCTTGTTTCTGTCACTCTGTCTCTGTCTGTTTGACCCCCAATTTTTCCTCCTCTCTTTCACCCTTTTCTTATCCCCCTCCTCAGATATTAAGTGAACATTTGAAGGACATAGGGACTGTAAATCACCCCGAGGATAGATCCTTATCACACATACCAAATAGAATTATTCATTGAAGCCTGGGAATCTGCTTTTCAAAAATGTTCTCCAGCCAATTAGGATTGAGGCACACATATACCTGTTTACAACTCTCCTTAATACATAGCTTTGCTTAGGCATTTCACAAAGCTTCAATGGTTACTTTGATTTGCTCATCTTGATTTTGAATTCCGTCCAGACTTCCCATTGGCATTCAAATATCCACATATGGCTTCATGAGAACTTTACAGTCTTAACCTCTGGTCCTTCTGAAAGCACTTCAGAGCCCAGATCTGGGACCTTTGGCCAAGTGTCTGCTTTGGAGTTTTCCCATGCTGTTCCTCCACCTTTCTCCCATGTGACTTTTGAAGTTCTTCTAATCTTTTAGAAACCATCCAATGTGCTCTTTTCTCTAAAGTGTCCTTCTTGATCTCTGAATCCTGATGAGATTTTTTTCCCTTTCTTTTGAACCCCTTTAGTTCTTCTGGACCTTTCATAGCATGCATTCTACCTTGTGTTATAGGTTGTGTGTTGCTTGACTTATGCTCCCAACAAGACATCCCATTTCCTTACATGTTATCTTTCCACCTGAGGACTCATAATCCTACACATCAACCTCTCATCCTTGATACTTCCATCTCTAAGGAAGCGTTGTGCACTCTTTGACTTTTTCCTTCAGTTTCTACAGAGAGAACTCTCTCTGTACTTGTTTCCTATATCCTGACTGCCCAGTCACTTCTCATTCAGCTGTGGTCTGGCTTTCATCTCCATCATTTGTAGTCACTTCTCCTTTGATGCTTTTTCTGTCTCACCTACCCCTATCTCTTATGGACTCACCCTTATCCTTGATGTAACCTTTCTACATTTCCCTATGATGACAGATCACTTGCCATGCTAAAATTTATTTACTACAATCTTGACAGATTTTAGTTTATTGTGAGCCTTTCTTTAATGATGAAAAGATCATTAGGTGTTCAACAAATGTTATTGAGCCAATAACATATGCAACAGTCTATAATGGTATAATTCTATTTCCTTAAGCTATGACAAACTTGGAAGCAGCAAGAAAAATTTTATCCATGTTTGGTGGTGCACACCTCTGATTCCAACAGTTGAGGGTGGTGGTAGAAAGTTCAGGAGGTCATCATCTACTACATAGTGAATTCCAGGCCTCTGCTCTATGAGCTACTGTCTCAAACAAACAAAAAACAAATAAACAAAACCAACAAAAACTCTCAAACAAAAAACAAAAACTGAAAAGAGAAAATACATAAATACATGTAGCATTCATCAAATGGTAATAAATGTTTAATCTTTTTCAGAGAAATGTCATGAGGAAAATACTGAGAAAGATTTAAGTCAAGCTACCTGTAGCCACTCCACGTATGGACTGATGAGGGACCAGTCTGCTTGGGGAAATCCTTCAGATGGTGAACTCATCAGAAGTAAGTATCATAAGAGAAAATTTGAGTGATTCAGAGATAAGACTATGATATACCTTCAGTTGCCTTCCCAAGTTATTTTGCTACACATCTATAAATCTGAAAGTATTTTTCTTGGTACTAAAACATCAGAGCTAAAGTTAGGTGGTAAATATTCTATAAGTTCCCATACTTTCTTTAGAATGGAAGAACTGATCTGTAAATGGCATACCCTGGTGTTAGATTAAGATTTAGTCAAAGTTAGCTCTTTCTCCAATGAGAACTCAATGAATCAGGTATCTTTAAGTATACGTTGGACTGTGACACTAAGAAAACCAAATGAGATCTAAAGGACAATGCTCTTGTGGTCACTAATCATTTGGCAAGTACTGCCAAAACTGTTTTCATGTTACTATTTGTAATGCCCACCCCCAGGATTGCTTTATAGAGCATTTCTAAAGCACTGGCATATTTATTTTACTCTGAGAATGTTCTAAAATGCTGGTATCTTTTGAGTTGTGTTCAGAATGTGACTTTTTTTAGACTTCTGCCTTAGAGCCTATGGAACTTACGTCCAATCTCTAGACTTTGCACTAAGGTACATAGAGAATTAAAGCTCTACTTATTGGAGACCTGTGTAGTCCCTCCCCTTTTTTCTCTTTGTGTAGAAACAGAATTTTAAGTGTTCCATTTTATTGATTTATTTCTCTAATCTTTTCTAAAGTTCACACAGGAAAAGGTAATTAAGATCACTTAAGACAAAACCCGAAATATAGTGTTGCGTAAGGACTTGAAGAATGGGATTTACGTGTTAAAGCTGTTTGCAATTTGGTAGAGCTTATTTTAGACGCTGAATTCATATTGTTCAAAAGGCAAGATTTCAAGTGAATTACTCTTTCCATTGTCTTTGCTGGTTTAAGTGGACATACTGCAGGAAATAGTTTCCTTACTGAGATAATGATGCAGTATGTGCCATGGGACACTGGAGCATCTGGGAACAAATGTTTAGGTTCACAGAAAGAATGAAGAGATCTGGAGGTCTGTCTCCTCCTACGAGAGTAATGCTAGGACATTTGGCAGATAAATAGATATGGGAAAATAATGGACACGGCCTGTAATGCCCCCTGGAAACCCGGGCTGGCCAGCATTTCCAACTACTTGGGGTTGAACAGCTGACTCTGAATGAGGATCAAAAATTCAAAAACCTTATTTTTGCTATTTTTCCCAGTCACACTTTTCTAGACGAAGGCTGTCTTGTTGGATGTGTAAGAAACATTTGAAGTGGAACAACGCACAGTGTTTTAAACTCGACTTCATTCTAGACAGCATCAAGAAGTTTGCTATTGTGGTAGCATCTGCGAGTCCATGCTGATTTTGACCTCCATGTAGCTGTCTGTCTGCCTTTCCTTCTTGGCCTTCCAGAGCAGAGTCCTCAGCCATTTCTGCCTAGTTCAAAGTCTGCCTCTCAGGTTAGGGGAGATGGGTGTTTTTGTCTTGCTTTACTGTTCAGCACATTTGGAGGCTCAGCCGGTCTTTTGTAATAACAATAGGCCTTGGGAAAGGAGCCCATGGCTCAGAACTCCACTGGGCTGGAAGGAAATGTCTGCCGTGACTCAACTCTGGCTCAGTCCTGTTCCAGGAGTCCTGTGTGGCTCCCTGAGCACCCTGGAAGAACAGGGCAGCTGGCTTCCACAGATCTGATGTGAGAGATCCCACTGAGATGCTAGGGTTGACGGATGGAGAGGTCATCAGAAAGAAAAGAGGACGGCTGGGGTGTGGGAACCATTTCAAACTACAACCCATTCATTTTTTTTCCAATCTTCCATGGGAGAGCTTCAGCTGCAAAAGTCACAGGGGCAGAGAGCAACTGTCGAATCTGACTGAATTTTCTTTATCTGTTCTTGAGAGTGGTTCATGATGGCTCATGTGTTGTCTCCATTGCCCAGGATACCTCCTGCCTTCTTTATTGGATATTTAAGGCATAATTTATAACGGACAGTTATCAGGCAATGTGAAGAGGTTGTTTTTCTTTTCTTTGCTGAGAATGAAACTTACCCTGGAAAGTCAAGGGAGTGGCTGCTTTGGAAATTGCATTCTAATTAGAGGGTGTATTCTCGAGCTTCATAAATGAGATCCAAGCTGAGACCTGTTTCTAAATTATTCCACGAACTTTAACTTTGACCTCTGCGGACCACCTGCTTGAGGTTCACACAGAGTTGGCGCCTGTGCCACAAGCAAGTTTGAGGTTTTCTTTGGTGCTTCTAGAAGATATGTGGCAGGTGACAGGTGTGGTACTGTGATTTGAAGGCTTGCAATTCAAATCTGCTGCCCCTGAGTGGCTAACTTATTAGAGAAAATCCTTCCTGGGTGTAATAAATAAAAGAGAAGAAATCCATATGGAATGAAGCATTTCGAATAAACAGGCCACACAGAGTCTAGTGAGGGAATGTGCCTTGTGAATCTCTTTCTTATGAAATTTAAATGTAAAAAAGGAAGAGAGAGAGAGTGCAGAGAGAGAGAGATAGCTCTAGCCACTTAAGCTTGTTAAAAAAACTTAAATTAGCAAAGAATTGAAAGCACAATAGAGATTTTCTGAGGAAATTTTACAATTGGAAAGTTTCTATTTTATGGGTTTCTTTTTAAGATCCTTTAAAATGCTTAAAAGGCATTTATATTCTGAGAAAATATTTTGGTATGTAATTTAATTTCTGGGATATATTTTAAATTTCAGACTTTACAAAAACTTATTTTTCTGAGATCATGGGCTGAGAATTTGGTTTTCCCTTTAGAAGAGCATGTTTGATGCGTGATATAATTTGAAGCTATACCTTTTAATAGTGTGTTTTAGTAATCACCATTTTTCTGACTTCATGAAATATACATTGTAGTGTAGTGACATTTTAGTTAATATTAATTTTCTATTCATACCATAATACACAAAAATCCATGACAGTAATGGGCAAAATTGTATATTTTAATTATACTAAAAAAGGAATGATCTTGGGGGTGATTTCTGAGGTAGAAAAGAGTGCATATGTATATGTATATATGTAGATGTTCATGTGTGCATGTGTATATTTGTGTACATATGTGTATATTCACTTATATGTGAATGTACATGTATACACATGTGTTCCTCTATTGACAGGCAGGCAGCATGTGTAAGTAACGTTTTAGTTTAATTTAGGTCAAATTCTATTATCTTAGTTATTTCGTATGAAGTGCTTACATTTTTCTTTGTTCCTCTTTATAAAGTGCCTGAGGTCTCCATGGCAGATTGTTCTAGGTCTTTCTGAATATTCCTATTACTAAACTTTATCCATGGACATTGCTCTGTACACAAATACCTCTAACTCTAAATGCCATTACTTCACTCCAGAAATTTTCCTCAGCTCCTCTTCTAAAATAAATTCCCCATTAAATTACACTGTTTGGTTCAACTAATTCTCTCCTTTGTGATTTTCTAGAATTCCCATGATCTGAAGCAAAGTTAGAATGCTCTACTTAAATGGTAATCCCCATTCTGTTTAACCCATTTATTCATTTTGAAGAGTTTTTAGCTCTCATAATAGTAAGCACTTAATTGGGAGGAGAATGCAAACCACACTGCAGCTCACACTCACCCGCCCTATGGTGCTGGAGCCCCAACTCCTTGCCTTTCTACTCAGCCTCCTACTTGAAATCTTCCTCTTGGCATCATCTGAATCTCCTCTCCATATCAACAGGCTCTGCTGTTAGGAACTCTATTATTTCTTTTCTAAGCCTCTGCCAGCTTCAAGCTGATCACTCCTAATGAACGCCATTCCATCACTCTAGGGGATTCTGCCTGTGTGTAAAATGCTGAAAGAAAGGCAGGTACTCGGGCATACTGTCGTATACTTAAAGCACTTCTTATTTCCATGGTAAAGACAGAGTTTGAAGAGGTTTCGATTTAAGTGTTTTCTGAAGCTCTCTTGTTTGAATGCACATTCAACAACTATTATTTGGCTTTCAAGAGTTCAGTTTATATGAAACTAAAAATTATCCCCCATTAACGTAGTACCTAGCAAGGACTGGTAGATATAGCTTTTATAAAGTTTTGTTGATATTTGTGTGGCAGACATGCCCCTTTCCTAAACAGAAATGGAGGAGTGGATTGGGGCTTAGGAACAGAGGGGGTGGGGGAGGGATGAGGAGGAGAGAAGAGAGGTGAAACTAGGCTAGGCTATAATGAATAAATAAATTAATTAAATAATTAGGTAGGTAACCATGCTTCTTAGTGCCCTCAGGCATCGCCTCACACTTCATGCTCCTTTATGTCTCTGATAAGTATTGGGCTCAAGTCAGTCTGGTTTTTGAATTTCTCTGTGTCCCTTTCTCATCTATTTCAGCACTGGGCAGATTCTCTGTTGTTCACTGTACTGATCAAGTATTTTCACCCATTAATACATACAGCTGCTTTTCTTATTGTCCTAGAGCAAAACATTTGATCATTAATTTTTATAAAAATCAAGCTAATGGTTTAGTTTCCAGGTGTATAAGCATGATTCCTCTTTTGATGTTCTACTATTTTAACCTCTTCTGTGTTCCACTGATGGTTAGTCAGCACACAGCTAAGGGAGGAACTGATGGTGTGAGCTCATCAGTGTGCACTGTTAACATTATTCTTGAGCACAGCTATGAATTTTAAGATATTTTTCCTACTCATCATAATTCCATTGAGCTAAATGCTTGGAAGCACTAAGATACAGAGACAAACTCTTCTGACATCCATGGTGTCAATGGCCACAGTTGCCTGCATCCAGTTGGTTATGAATTTTAAGGTGTTATATAATAGCAAGATGTTTATAAACCATTATGCAGAGTGTACAAAAGACTGAGTTGCACTTATGGAAACAGATGTTTGTATATATGCCTCTTTATCTTTCCCCAAGCCACATTTCTTTTTCTTTTTTCTAGATCAGTGGTTCTCAACGTGTGGGTCACAACTCTTTTTGGGGATTAACCCTTTACAGGAATCAGATACCAGATATCCTGCAAATCAG